CCCTGTTAGTTCTTTGGCACCCATTTATACGATTGCGGGGAGAGAGGCTCTGTAGGAGTGAGGTGGTATGAGCAATGCTGCTTAAGTTACACAATACCATGATAAAGATTTCTCGTCAAGATTATTTTTGTTACTATATAAGCCATTGCACGTGTAAGAATGGTAAAGAAGAAGTGACGAAGAAGCCCATAACAAAACACAAGGTTCGTACTAACAAGAACTAAATCTCAAATAGTAACAAACGCATTACCAAAGCAAATTATCTAGTTTTATTTTTCAATTCTTTTTCATTTACATAAAAATAAAGTTTTAAAATTATAAGCATTTGTGAAAGTAATAATTATATGGCTAACATGATATGTAGTCAACGCTAAATAATACGGAACATAAAAATAGACCAACCAGACAGAATGAGTGATGAAATATTAGTGATGAAATGAGATAAGCGTCAGAGGATCTCATTAAACGCAAACGCAGTTATGATCGCGTGTTATATGTGATCAACTTTCGTTATGCGTGATGAGATCGTGAAGCAAGATAAAATCCCGTCAACCCTTTCATTCCCAAGATGTCATTAATAATTCTCCTTACCGCTTACATTCAGATGATGCTAGTGCGCACAATCTGGTATTTGATCAACTAACAGTCCTTTAATTGATATTTTCCTTCATTCTTATCACTTATCTTCTCGATGTTGTGTTGATATTGTCTGAACAAAATTCTGTCTTGATCACTTACGGGAGTTGTTAAAGTATCAAAGATCGCTGTAAAGTAATTTAGTATCAAAGTGTTGAAAAATCACTGTACAACATATATTCGACAGGTGAATTAGCTTGCGCTCCACGCCAAGCCTTGATATCACTCTTTAACATGACCAAGTTCTTCCAAATACGCGGCTAGGGCTTTAGTCTGCAAAAGAAAACAGTAAAACAACAATAATGTTAATAACTTTAGAACTCGACATCGGCTGTCAAACTTCTCTTTAATTAATGGTAGGTTAGGGTTTATTTCAAACCTCGTTATTGTCCAAGCTATGACGCACATCCTCAAGAAAAATATTCATTAGGGGCGAGTAAAAAAGGGTTGGGGGGGGGTGGTGAGACGTAGCAACTGGAACTCTGGTAGGTAAAAAACACATGACCCACCCCCATGGGTCGCTGAAAATTGAACGACCCAACCTTCTCAAAAACTATCGCTCTGACGAAGGGCTAACGCTCGGAACGTCAGCCTTAAAACTCTTTACGGTGGCCAATTTACGTTATCATCTCAGTTGATAACACTTAATTACCCTGATATACTCTCCCACCGACGCAGCACCACAGTTTCTTTAGAGACTTACCCTACTCTCAAAAATTGATGATCAACTCTCTCTCAGCTCCAGCCCACACTAACCCCATACTTTCCCAGCAGTCGCTTACGATATTTTATATAACAGGGAATAATTTTATCCCTACTCTCTCTCGTCACTTGGTAAGGCCAAAGGTATGTATTTAACAAATAACATAGCACCCATAAAATAAAGACCATATAATCGCTTTTGATTTTAACGGTCGCGCACAATCGATTAATAACCCGGCTTAAAATATACACATCCTTGTAGGCCATTTCCGAGAAGACTAAAATCTCTCTTTTCAATCGGGGTTTAGTGCAGAGTCGTGGATACGCGAGCGATGTTTTACACTGGTCCACTCAGCCTTAATTTGAGAGTTAAAGCTTTTCAGAACCAAAAAATGGCCTATAGTCTTGTTTTTAACAACAACAGAAGGTTAAAAAAATCAGGAGGAAAAGCAGGTACTTACTCCTTGGATGTAGTTGGTGATGTTTATTTTCTCGTTCTGGGAGTGCGCGCCATCATCACATGCGCCTATCGGTAGAAGTACGATGTTCTTTTGCAAGGCGTCCTGTAGAGCCAAGGTCACAGGAATACTACACCCGTCACGAGTCAAATCCGGATCAACACCATGAACTATTTAAAAAAAACCCAAAGAAAGCCTGAGTCCTTTCTTAAGAAATTTCGATCTTAAGATGAGAGATCAATTTTTGGCCCTCAGTAATTATAATTCACGTTTCTGAAAGAGGTAAGTAGTGACGTTTCTTAGTTACTTTATGCGCCGTTCAAAACCACACTGTAAAAACACATAGTGGTAATACAACCTTGTAACCAGGGCCCTCTCTCTTTTTCCCTCGAGAAAGCACTTTCTCTTGGAGGAAGAGAGAGGACCCTGGAAATGAGGTTGAGAGGAAGGAGAGCACTTCTGATAAAAAATATCGTGACACCAAACGAATCACAGCGCCATACCACACAAAGAAAAACATCACAGAGGGCCAGTTAGGACTCAGAGTAACAACAAGCAAACTGCTCTAAGCGCGGAAAAACACGAGGCAGTAACCGAATAGCGATTGGTTTTAAATTTACATTTGATTGGTTGAGGAAGTGGCACGATTTTTCGGGAAAAATCACTAAGTGAAATAAAGCTAAACGAGAGCAATCCCAGATTACTTTCGACAGCACATAGAAATCTGCTCAAACAAGCAGCAAGGATACCAAGAAGCAAAATGAATGGTTTCAGATAGAGACGATTTAAAAAAAAAAAAAATTGAAAACTTAACATGCAGGAGACGTGATTTCGTCCTTAAGAACGGAGCCCAATCTCTTAACGTTAAGAAAATCTCATAAGAAAATCAAAAGTGTTTTTTTCTTTACTTAAAGAATATGGAAAAAAATTCCAGATCGTAACTTACCAGTTTTCAACGCTCTTCTAGCCGCTTGATAATTGACATGATTGATGTCACTAACCCATGGTGGACCACAATGATGAACGCTGACCCTGAAAGTGTGTCACGCGGACGTCTTTACAACTCTGTCAACCCGAGCAACGATAAAACGACAAACAGCTGAAGGTCCGTTTGGGCTCCGAAGCAATTTTCAATTATTCTCTAACAACTATCGGTTCACAGGCGCAGAAAAATTAAAATGCTGACGCAAGTTAATGAAAAGAAAGTTGCCCTCTACTTTCGATCTTTTTCTCTGTTCCAATCGCCGAATTAAAGCTTAAGAGTGTCCAATTTGATATGCTGTGAAGGAGTATAAATGCGGTATTCGGGGAGATGTTTACAGAACAAGTGACTTTGAAAGCCATAGTGCAACGGATCCTCTCACGAAGTTATCATATTTTTGCATTGTTTCTTTAGAATAAAGCTCACTTATCACTTGGAAAAAACGCGTGATTTATGATATGGCTTCTAGAAGTACCGAGAGGGCGTGCACCTCGAGGAATGGCTGGGTAAAAAGAGAGGGGACTGGGTGGGGTTCCACTGCAAGGCTGGCTGGGATACTTGTAAAGATTGGAGTCTTTTTCGTATCAAAGATGTTTCCCTTTCGATAAAATAATAGGGCTAAAACTGAAACTAAAGTTACGGTAGGATTTCTCCTTTAGGACTCTTTCATTAAGGGACAAATATTGGTCCCAACTGAGATAATGCTCTTGTAACCTTTACATCAGCTACATTTTAATAGAAAATAAACGTCTATCGAGGGAACAACTAATTAATAAGGGAATTTAGGAGTGGACATTCCACACGGTGGCTCTTCTCGTCCACTGTTTCCAGATCGAATTGAAATTGAGAATGTTGGTTTTTTGTGGAGGGAGGAAAACCGAAGGACCAGGAGAAAAACCCGAGGACCCGGAGAAAAACCCGTGTTGCAAGGACGAGAGCCAACAACAAACCCAACCTAATTGTCACGCCAGGTCCGGGAATCGAACCCGGGCTACAGCGGTGGAAGACTAGTGCTCCAACTTAAAGCTCAGAGTGTGTTCTCCAAATAGAGATTCCATTGTACCCACTACCTTAAAGCAAGGAACACTTCTAGACCCTTTCCCTGCTTCCGAGGTTGTCCCCTAAATGAAGCGTGCAGTCTCCGAGAAATGTAACTTTCCTTAAGACAATTGAACAGTGTAGCTAACTTACGACAGTGGGTTTGGACTTCCTCTTTGCTCATGAAGTTTCTTGATGTAGTTGCACACAGTCTCGTCCACCTCTTCTGGCGTCATATCAGGCACCAAACGGATGGAGAACTTGCCAATCACCTGAAAAGCAAAACCAATCACATCGAAAACAAAAAGACACCTTAGCCATATCACAAATGATAGGTAAAGCGCGTCAGGATCGCCGACTTGTTATCAATCATTGCACAAAAGGCAATGGTAATGAGTCTTCCCATCACCCTCAGCGAGTACTACGGCTTTCCTCTTTAAAAAAAATTAGAGGAGGAGGGAGGAGTTCAAATTTAAATTGACGTTCTTTACCAGTGATAATTGTGGTTCTACATCTTTTGATAAATGAAGTTTCAAATTTACATACCTTTCTGGGAATAACTGTCTTTGAGCCAGGCTCGTAAAAGGCTCCTTCGATGCCTGAAATTCCAGGGAGATAAAAGTTTGAAAACGCAAAGTTACGTGGAGGGCAACTTCAAACCACTCCTACGAAGCTGGTACGAACTAACTCAACTTTGAGGCTTATTCAATTTAAACAAGCTAAAAATATTAAGATACATTTACACTAGCAAAGCGTGTCAAGGAAAAATTTTAGCAACTTGTCTACGAAAACTTCCTCATAAGAATATAGTAGGAATTTCGGTCAATTTGTCAAGTATTCAATTATCTACTGCAGATCGTATGGTGTATTTCATAACCCTCGCAATACTCCCTCCCCCAAAATTAAGATTTGCGAGCGCATAGGAATAATTTAGAATACGGTCGAATGTCGGCATGCTCGATCAAATATTTTAACAGAACAGAATTGAACAGGATTGAATTTAGACGTATTTGGGAACCTTTAGTGTGCTTCATTCAGAACCATACTAGATAAATTCGACCAGACAATTTTAATATGTGACAGGCTCCTTGATTAGAAACTAGCCCATCGGTATAACTTCGACTAGAAGCAAGTGGATGTCATGACAAGCCGCGCAGGGTTCCAGACAACGTTCTCTCTTGGGATAATTTTGTTTTATCAACTGAGTTGAAATCGGTGAATTGGCCACTGTGAAGAGTTTCTAAAGCTGAAGTTTCGAACGTCAGCCCTTCGTCAGCTTTGGAGACTCTTTACGGAGGCCAGTTTTTTACCCCTTTTCTTGAATATTCTACTATCTGAAACAACTAGTTGATGTAAAATAAGCAACTCGATCAATACCGTGAATAGACAGGGAAGGGTAACGCCAACGACGCATCAACACTTCCTCCTTGGAGTTATGAATAAGTTTTTTATGACCAAGGTCCTGACGATACTCCTCCTAAGGAAAAGAAAACAGACCAGGAAGCAAAATAATTTTAGCGTCATTGAAAACCCATAAAATAAGACTATAGGCGAAAAGAAGCCTAGAAATGCTATGCTTCGCTCTACCAAGCACAAGAATTGATTTACAAAACTGGCCCCTCTCTCTCAACCGTGCATATACCAAATTAACTGCGAATCGGTCACTCGGCTTTCCCACGCCTAGACCAGTTACGTTCATTCGCTTTGACTTGTGATTGGCTCCGTCTGATAGTTACATCATACGCTACGATAAGGCCCCAAAGAGCTTTATACGGTACATTGGGGAAATACGGGCTTCTGATTGGTGTATCTGTACCCCGTGGTACAAACTACCGCTCTCTGATTGATTGCGCGGTATATGAACGTGCATTATAACTTCTCGCGGGTGAAGAAACGTTCGTGCTGATGCGCTAATAATAATTAGACCCAGCACGCAGACTAGAGAAGAAAAAAAATACGTAAGCTTTGCTGTTGACTGACCTTGTCAAAGTCAATATCTGTATAAGTTGCTCTTTCATCGTCAGTTAAGGGCAAGACTTTGTCGTTGATCCCAGGAATCAAGATGTTCCCCTTAAGGTCCACCAAGTTGTTCAGGAGATAAATCAGATCCGTCATAGCCTCGTGTCTGTGTTAGAGAGAATGGTGTTCATGGGGCAATTTCCAAATGAGTGCCAAAAGGATATTGCTTTGACAGGATAATTTGGTGTTATCAACAGAGTTGATAATGTCAATTGGTCACCGTAAAGAGTTTCTAAGCTGACGTCTTGAGCGTTAGCCCTTCGTCATTCGCTCTCACGAAGGGCTACCGCTCAAAACGTCAGCTAAGAAACTCTTTACTGCGGCTAATTTTACATAATTAACCCATTTGATAGGAAAAAAAATTATCTTCTTACACTCCCCCAACGACACAGTACCACAGTTTCTTTAGAAACTTACGCCCTAATACTGCTTTGGTTTTGCGTTTTTTGAGTCTATGATTGGTCCAAAAAACTTGCGCCGTCCTCTCAAACGATTCCATTCAAAACTAAAATCAATTACGACTTGATCACTCGCTTTTTCTCGCGCTTCAGCGGGTAAATTGTTTTTACTCTGCGTTCTTATTGGCTCCTTGAGGTACTTTCCTGTATTCTGATTGGATGATGTCATTGCTTTAGTTTTGGTTTGATAGCGCTCACTCGGAACGCTCTCTATTGGGTTAGCGTAAGAGTTGGAATTTGGTGACAGTAAAAGTGGATTAAACACGACTAAACATTCTACTCCTTTCGGGGTTTATTTCTAATACTTTTAATTAGCTGGGGTCAAATTAGCGGCAGAAATTTGCAGGAAGCACACTTGGTAGCAGTTTACAGTGATTTCCATTGACCAGGAGTCATTCACAGTCCTACTTGTCCGAGGTCCTTGCGTTTAAAGATCATTTACGAGTGAACGGACAAGCCAGACCAGACTATCAATTAATGAAAAACCATCCAACTAGATCAGTCAATTCCTAAATTATATTGGAAATGAGATATTCTGATGTTTTTTTATACACTTAGGGAACTCTCAAAATTAGATTACAAGCATTCAAGAGAAAACAGTTTGGAAGCAAGCTACTGAAAATAAGAAGGTCTTCTACTCACACTGTTCCACCAAAGACTCCAGAATGCAGATCTTTTGATGCACAACTGACCTCCACAAAAAAGTAACAGATGCCTCTGTGAAAGAAAAAAAAGGAAAGCAAAACTGTGAGGAAAAAAGTACGCTTTAAACTTGGATTTAACTGTTCCATTGTCTGTCCTGGGGCTTCCTCAGTGTGGTTTTATTCTTTGATGACCATTTTGCATGGATTTGCGTACTTACTGTGGTAAAAAAAGTATATACCTATGGACATCCAAAATGTACCAGTGGAATGGAAAATGCAATTAGCAATTAAGCTTTAAAAGCAATCCAGAATTGCTACAACATAAAAAAAGTTTTTTTGCCGCACTTCAATCTGCAATTGTTGTAAAAAAACTTTCATTGCACACCTAACCAATCAGATATAACAATAAAACAAATTGCAACTTGGTCACTTGCATTTTCTCAACTTGAGAATGTTAATACCTAGCTGCATTGTTTTTTGTTAAGCTATTGTGACAACATCTTTTTTTAGTCTTATGATCCTCAACTGAAATACAGTCTGATCATTTGATAGTGTACTCTAATTTTACAGGTGAGTGAAGTCCTGAGAAGGACTGTTGTGGGTGGTGGTGACTGACATTCCAACAACCTGAATGGAAGTCATCATCAGAGTCAAGTGAACAGTTGTTGTGCAACTGTTTACTTCATTCATTAACTATTCACTTGACTCTGATGATGACTTCCACTCGGGTTGTCAAAAACCTCAGTCACCACTACTGACAACAGTCATTCTCAGGGCTACACTCACCCAGACAATCAAACTACACTATCACATGTTACCCCCAGGTTCAAATCTTTATGGCCCAATGAATGGATAATGCAAATTAAATGCATGTTACATGGCTGGTAAATTGTTCAATCAAATTCAGCTGATCAAATGTTCCTCGTATTCCCATTGCATGCACTATTGACCAGGGTTTATGAATTGCAGCATAGAAGAGTGAACTTTTCTTTATCCAACATCAACAAAACTGTTTTAAAAATTTCATTTAACAAGTGATTATGCATCAAAGGTGCATTCAGCAAAACACTGAGCACATGGGAAGTTTGGAGAGTGCTAAAGAAGTTTAAGTTGTGCAAGAAACTCTTATGCATCTTTCATGCTCTCTGAACTTACTGCATGGTCCATTTCTCAATGAGTAAAAGATAAGCCAAGTGTTAAATCATATATTTCACTTTACCTCAATCCATAAGTGATACATGGCTTCCTTTTTCCCAACCAGTAGTTGTCAGAGATACAAACATAATCAACAGGCTGCAAATGTATGTTAAAATTTTATTAGGGAGTTTAAAAAAAACATGATGGAAACAGCAATGGGAACATCACTGAACAAAAGGTCTAATGGACAGAACAATGGCTGTGCACATGCATTATAAATCTTAAAATTTCTTTGTGTCCTCTGCAAAACAACGACATGAAATGACCAAACTTTGCGTTGTCTGGATAACATAAAAGACGACAGCTTATCTTTTAAATTTCTATTTCTAATTTAATACTGTGTTCCATTTTCAGTTTTGAGAGAGTTTGACAATGAGAAATAAACTAAATGATTTACAAGAATCTCGAGATTCATAGGTAAAACACGAGTTCATTTTTTAACCAATGTTGTCCACGGTGTCACCTTCATTGTTTCTTTAACTTCCTATAAATTACTAATTAATCCCAAATCAATAACTTGTGTAAAACTATTGATCATTTCAGACGGTTGTCTGGGTTTGGGTAGTTCTGCAGGATCTAATGTCAGAAACAATGACTAATTCATGGACAGCCACTAGAGCCTAAGTATACCATCCACAAAGTATTCAACTATATCTACAGGTGAAAAATCAGCATCCACTTAGGTTGAAATTTAAACAACAGCTTCCATGTAACAACTGAGTATATTGTAAAGACTCTGGCTCAATTTTTTTTCTGGTCTTTCAAGAGAGAAAGGTATTGGGAAACTCAGAGTGTACATAAAACACTAATATTCAGTGTCTACTAAGAAAAAAGTTCACATCTGAAATGGTATCACAGTAACCTTTTAAGACTTGCAATTTAAAATATCCCATGGGTTCAAAAATTCTTATCAAGGCTTTTGTTGGCCCAAACCTTTCAGTAGCTGCATTTCCTAAATGTGCAGTATAACGATCATGTTAATCAAACCTTGAAGAAGGTGTCCTTCTTGTCGTTGATCAGCTTATCCAGACCCTCACTGCCTGATTCTTCCATTCCTTCAAACACAAACTAGTAGAAAAAATAAAATATAGGCAGTTAACATGTTTCTGTTGAACAATTTGCAGGGTTATCATAATCATAATTATTTATCAATTATCATACCAGAAATAATTGATTTTCTTCATTTCTGAGAAAATAGGCAACGATTTTGCTTCTCATAAATGTGAAATTTTGTTGGTCTCCAGCTCTTTTTAAACCTTTGTATACTCAGTCACTATTATTTCTCACATTACTTCTAAGCTAACAATATGTTGACTTTCAAGTTACTCTTTGAATAGCCTTTCCAAAAAATGAGGCTTACCCTTAAATTGATTGGCAACTCATTACCAGTCTTCTGGTATGCTTCAATAGCATTCAGCCATGCAAGCACTGGACCCTAAATACGTGGTAAAAAAGGGGTGTGAATGACTGGATGATTTCCAGCAGACCTGTTATAATGAGTATTTACCATCAGCAGGCTGGCTCATATTACTTTCTTCCACTGGATTACATGTTACCATTCCATAAAAAGTATTTAAGGTTTCCTTGTCTTACAAAAATTTCTTAGCCTTTTTAGACTATTTTTAATAAAAAATTAATATGTTTTATGTTTTCTGAATCTTTCAAATCCCCCTACAGCCCCCCCTTCCTCCGGCCCCCCTTCTGTGCCCCCTCCTTTATTGATTCCTGTATCTGCCCCTGTATCTACCCCTGTATCTGTATCTTTTCCTTCTTCTACCTTATCATCAGTGGATCCACGACCATAAAGCTTCCCATCAATTTCTGTCAAGGTAAAAGGATCTGTGTCCCATCCATCTTCCTAGAAAAATGTAATTCATAATGGATAC